TCAGCGTCTTCGCTAAAATCATAAATGGTTCTTTATGACATCCTTTTTTTAAAGAAAGTACGGTATCTTTTTTTAGGATGGACACAAAAACGTTTTGTTGCTAGCTTGATCGCTATATTGAAGGTCGGTATTATTTCTAAAATATTCCAAATAATACTCGTAAATGTTTATGGAATTATTATGTCCAACGAGTGTAAAATTTTTCGTAATATAATTCTTCATAATACCACATTGAATTAATGATTTAAATGCCTTTAAAGATTTTATATTGTCATAATTGCCAGTAATCCAAATACCTTTCAAAAAACAAAAGATGGTTTGAAATCTCGAAATGCTAACTGTGGATGCAATAGAAGACTTCAGCAACCGAAACCCTTATGAGTCAGCCCACGTAAGCCACGATTAATACTCAAGAAGTGTGCTCAATGAAAATGATCAGATCTTGCTCACTTTAAGACATGTAACAGAAGCCACAGTTTTATGAATTTTGATGCAAGCCATTTTAAAAAATATTTACACTGGCTATTCTGATGAGCGTTCAAGGGTGCATTGACACTTTTGATGCATGCCTAAAGAGTTTGTCGATTGTTGTACTTTCATAAACTCATTATGGGCTTTTTATTCCACGGAAATTCTTTTAACGGTATGGCAAGATCAAATTGACAAAAATCTAAGATCCGTTGTTCTAGAAAGTTAAAAGAGAAATTCATTCTTACCTAATGATCTATTATTATAAGTTTTACAATGTGCACCAGTAAAATTCCATCCTCTGCCTGTATAAATTTGTTGTTGGTCATCATTATCACCACACAAGATAAAATTATAACCAATATCAGCCCAGTTTTGTTTATTCATATGATCATCTTGAACTTTTTTTATTTGTTTAATACAATCCTGGTGATTCATAATTGAATTATAACCTAGTATTTGGTGTGGAACAATATGTGTAACCGGTAATTTTTTAAAATTCTCAAGTCCGTTAGACGGACTTGCATTCCAGCTAGATCGTTCTAATATATTGGAACAATCTATGAGAAATGAACATCAAACATGTCTATTTTGTACTTGTTCAACAGAGAATAGGATTTTTTTAAGTATTCTTCTGCAAAGAATAGTTTACTCTAAATCTATCAAGTTTTTTAAATCTTTTAGCTAAGAAATCAACTTTACATGCTTCTCTGAGGTCTATGAAATATAGAAATAGTGATTTGATTGGACAACCTGAAATCAAAGTCAGTGGTTGTAATTGGTAATAATAAAAGAATGAATTTTAATTAATATGTTTAAAAGCCAAAATACTTCCGGCAGAGAAGTTCGAGAACGATTTCATATTTTAGCTTTTTAGAACCTTCTCTAGCAAGCTTTGTTTATTGTTCAGTTTTACCTGGTGGTAATGATTCTGTGATAGTCGTTGTCATGCTTGTAGTCGTTCTCGTGGAATCTTTTTGAATAACGAAAATACAAATAAATATAAAAGTTAAAACCAAAAGAATAGCGAACACCAAAAATCCAATGATGATATAAAGACAACGTTTTCGTTGTTCGAATTTTTGATATTCTTCCACATCTTTGTTATGATCACTAGTTGGTGATAATGATGATGTTCTTGGTGTTTCGCTATCTGACAATTTGACAGAATCGAAAGAGTTAACTTGTTTCGAGATACGGGAAGAAAAGCATCTTACTTTCTGATTCATTTTTATTATCATTTGTATCTTCACATTCTTCTAATTCAATTTCAATTGAAATTGATGCTTTTGGATCATCAAGATAATTTTGTTTAATTGCTATGAGTTTAAAAACAGTAAATGGAAGAATTAAAATTTCTTTTTCATCTGGTCTTGTTGATAAACTTTGTATATTGATAGCTGTTGAATTTTGTTTTATTAAATATTGACATAAACATGAATATTGTAATGCACAATGATTTTTAGGAGTATATCTCATTTTGGATTGTTGACCTTCACCAGCAAACATTTCAACTACTTCACGATCAATTGATGTTGATAAAAATGAACGATTTAATATATATTGATTTGAGAGATATTGATTTAAATCATTTTGTGTTATTCTCATACCACGATAACATAAACCTTGATATCGATATTGAGGTAAATTTGGATGATAAATTAAGAGTGTAACAATATGAATCAAACAATTCACAAAACGATAATTTGATAAAAAGTCTTTTGTTTTATCAAAATATTGTAATATATACAGAGCCATATGTTTTTTTAATACTTTATAAAAACAATTTGTTAATGTATAAGCTTTTATAAAATATGTTAAATAATCTTGTTTTTCTATAGCTTCTTTGAAATATTCTTCAATAGTTTCAATTTGTTCACGAGTAATTTGATCTTCTCGATTGTCAATATCATTACTTTGATTTATCAGATATTCATTTAAATAATAATGAATAACTTCAGCTAATAATTTTGATACTAAATTATGATTATTATAGGTTTTATATAAATCAATAGCTTGACGAAATTCACGTCGTTTTCCAAGAAGATCATCTCCTACTACTGACCATTCAACATAATCATAATCAAAATTATTATTTGAAAATAATTTGCAATGTTCTACAAACAGCTGTTTGATACCATCTCTACATGCTTCTTCATAAGGTGTTAAATTGTGTCGTAAATTTCTAATGGAATGTAGAGCTTCGTATTGTAATAGAAGTGGTACCATATGTCGATGTCCATAATAACATGCCACATGCAAACATGTTGAATTTTGAATTTTATTTATAATATTTATATTATCAATACATGGTAGAATGCTTCGAGCTTTTTCTATTCCATTTTCTCTACATAAATCATACAATAAATCAGTGATACTTGAATCCTTGTCGTCATTATTTGATGAGGATGATGATAACATTATGCTAAGAATGAAAAATCGAATTTAAAACAAATATGAATATGTTTTTGATATGCTTTGTGTATTAAATATAAAAGAAGAACAAGAATAATAGTTTATCCTACGAACTTTTCTTTTTCTATTTCTTCCACATTCAAAACATTCATATTGGGAATATAATACTTTGATACTTACAAAAAGAAATAGAAAGTAGTAATATTTAGATGTATTTTATGGTTTTTATTGCACAGTTCTTTATAATTGTCGTAAATTATATCAAAACACAGATGTATCGTTTAGCACTATGCTCACTTATATTTCATAGAATGGTCAAACTATATAGTAACAAGAGCGTGTACTCTGATAAGAATAGGAGAACTGCACCAAATCTAAGAAAGCTCAGAAAATCGCAATGAATTCTGAACCATTTGAAGGTTTTACACGAAAAAAGGATACATATAGATTTATTCTTTTTCTACAATAAAAAAATTCGGAATCCAGAAAATATCTGTATTAGTCCGTTTTGAGATCGAAACTCTTGCGACGGAGACTTTCAATTTTATTTCCATTCTTGAATATATCTTTTTATTGATTCGTTTAATTATTTATCTTTGTAATCAGTTACTTAATTATCTATCTCTGTATTTATCTATTTATTTAACTATCTGACGAATTGTCTATCTTTCTATCTATCTGTTGGAGAAATTGCTTGATCAGCGATTTAGCCAAATAGCTATGTGTTCACTCTCGAAACAATATTGTTTACCAAGCATTTTATGCTTCAGCTGAAAGTTATAAACAATATATCTTCAAAATTTTTTTCGAACTTTCGTACGAAATATTTTTAGAAAAAATCAATTTATTTTTGTTTCGCACATATGGGTCAGGAGTTCTCAAATTATTGTGAAAGTTGAGCTTCTATACCATTTGGCTGATTAAGTCATAGGCTTGAGAAGTAAACACTTTTCAGAGATTGAACAATCAGAAGACCGCTTAATAAGGTTCAGAAAGTAAAATGCATTAAAAATCAAACTACAGACGATATCGTGATTCGAAATCCAACACTAATAGCAGGGCTTTTAATATTAATCGATCTATTCGATAGACAGATCCGGCTAGCAGAGTTGAGTGTGCAAGTTTCGATAGAATACTATTCTTTTGTAGAGTGAATCAAGAGTCTTCGAATGATAGATAAAAGAAGCTGCTTTGATGTTATTTCTACAGACAAAACAATCGAAATACTTTGCTAGTGATGCATTTAAATCGAAGTAGAATGAAAGAAAATATTTTCATGAGTTTATGAAATCTCTTGAAGAAGTAACTTATGAAGAACTTCGTGCAATCTATATATTTTAAAGGTACTCTTTTTGTTCGATTCAGAAACTGCTTTAAACAAATCAACAGAATTTTCCTGATCGGATTAGACCTTTTTTCTTCATAAAAAAATTAAGTAGCCTTAAATGGCTTCTTATCGCTTTCATCTTTTGGTGGTTTTTTGCAACTTATATCGAATGTGACCAATATAAATTTCTTTTGCAGTCCTATGTTTTCAGGAAGTACTGCTACGAAGCCAGATTCCTTTTACAGTGTAGGTATTCTATTTGTAAATATCTCTATAATTCTACCAAAGAAAGTAATCAATAAACACATTAAAACTTCCATTGTTAGGACTTCGTTCCTCATCCAATCCTAGACTTCCTGAAACGTGAGGGTGCACCGTTCGTCGACATGTTTTTGCTGCTATTCTTACTTATGTTGCGTTTCTTCTTCCTGTTTTCTAGCTTGATATTTCATGTTGGATATGACGAGCACTTTGTGTTCGGATGAGTTTCATGAATAAAAAGCAGAAGAGGCAAGAGGAGTAAAGCGAGACTCCAGGAGTGCATGCTTTACCGTGCTTCACTGCACTTCACTTGTACGTTACTCATACTTCAAATGTTTTACTTCAAGTACTGAAGTCACACCTTTTTCTTCGTGGGGAGATTATATCGTTTTAATCATGTCCTATGTCAAATCATGAAACAATAATAAAACAAGAAAGCAGTCTTAAATTACCTTCTATGCATACACTTCGACATTCAACTCTATTGAAAAGAAAGTCAACAGGCATGAGGATCAAGATGAGTAAATTTTTCTTCTGAGCTGATATACTATTAATGTGCTTCTCTTTTAAAGATTGAGAAGAGAGCAGGACAAATAAATTTATTGTGTACTTACCATACAGATAATGGACTCGTCATCATCGCATTTCCTTTATACCATCAATAATATGCAAATAATGCTTGCACTGTTTATATCTCTGCAATTGCTTCAATTTCTTCCTATTCTCATGGTTCGATCTCGAGAGAAGAAAAATCTTATTACTGTTTCGCAATAACTGAAGGATGAAA